ATGCTTTGATGGACGGTTTTCAGAGCCAGGAAACGACAGTAATTCCGATGGCGCGTGCAAACGTTGACGTCGAGCAGGTTTTGAATCTTCTGACGGCGCTGTGCGCTTCGATGATGTGGACTGGCAAAGGTCCAAGTAGAAACGAACCAAACGGGGATCATCTGCGATCGCCGCGATAATTTTACCGTGATTGTCCGACGATGTGCTCGGATTGATGCTAGCCACCGCGGCTCGCCGGGCCATGGCTCGATTGGCTTGGTACCTCCCCGATTTCAGCTGCGTCAATAGAATTCAGCATCTCTTCAAGGTCATTGGTAGACCGGACATGGACGCTGGTGGGTGCTGCCGGCTCCACACCTGACTGACTAGGGTCATCGTCGAAACGAGTTCCGATTATGGAACGAAGGAGAGAGGGAACCCGTCGGTTGCCGTCGATAAAATGCGTAAAATCAACAGCGTGGCGGACACTAACGACCGATTCCACGCCCGTCATAGCGTTGATCCAATGCAATGTATCCTCCGGTTGCGGCTGATCGCGAAGAGGAACGAAACCTGTCAAAATTCTCTGAATAGAGCGAGACCCGCGACCTGTCGAGCCGAGAATGCGATCTAACGCGGTGGAGAGGTTGTCATCCAGGTCTTGAGGTTGTCATCCAGGTCTTGAGGTTGTCATCCAGGTCTTCAACAGATAGTTCGTCCTGGTTGACTTCGTGTTTGCCGAATAGGAAGCAGTGAATGGGCGAAACTTCGCGTAAGTCGTTGACGTTCGACTGAACATCCCCGAGTAGTGTTCGAATAGTCGCCGTGTCCCTTGAGTACGCCACCACTTGACCAAGCACGTATGTCGACGCACTCAGCCCGACAACAGCCTTGCGAAGCCACTCACCAGGGGCACCGTGTCCGTGTTCAGCGCCATCGACCTGGCGGTTTCGGACGATGTCGTTCGGGACTTGGAGGCGGACGTTTAGAGACGACAAGAGCATCACGGCGGCATCACGACTGGGTCGCGTCGTGGCAGTAGCATACACCGGAATGCTAATACCAGCGGTTGCCGGTAGGTCTTCGGGGAAGAGGAGCACGGCAAAGGATGCCGGAGACGAGGGCGACATCGTGGAAGGGACGAGTTGTAAGTTGGCTTATTTAGTCGGGGACTTAGCTTTAGCGAACAAAATTCGGAATGATCGATGCTACTCTAAACTAAACGGTGCGTTCGAGCAGCGCGAAACGAAGCAACTACTGGTTGAGAGCTTGCTGTGGTTTTGGTTGGTTCTGGCGCAGCGATGGCAAGTGTTGATTTGCCACCAACGTTACCATTACTAGCGTTCCGAAAACCCTTTCATCGCCAACTTGCCGATAGAAGATCAGATAAGAGCTTTGACAAGCCGCTGTTTGACCTTCTGGATGAGTCTGAATGAGATACTGTTTGAACAAATGCAAACTTGCTTCACGAGGATTCGAAAGCGCGTATAATCAGCTTCTAGATGGTTTAGTCAAGCGCCTAAAGTTGCTTGAAAGTGCAAAGAATATTGGCGATGACTCGCCATTGATTATGACGGAAATGAAGTCAATCCTGGATAAGTTATACGAAAAACGCGTGGTCTCTACATCATATTACAGTCAATTTAAGCGTTTGATAAAGCTCGCTTAGACTCGCGTTTGAAGCTAAACAATCTGATTGTATCAATATTTTGGTGCTTTCTTCTGTTTTTGCTCCTTCGCAAGCTGACTAACGCTGATTTGACTCAGTTTGTTAGTCAGAGTTTCGAGGCATAGTCGTTTTTGGATGACACTACAGCTCTGGAGTGATCTACTTCACACGATCCATCGATCTCCATTGCCTGAGGCATTAATTGACGTCGAATTCTCTTTCATCGATGCATATTTATTTGTCTTTGTTATATATACACAGTGAATAAAGATGTCATTTCCAATTTTATTAAATCTCAATAACCAGGTGGCTACTCACCAGTTCCGTTATCGATTCTCGCAGCCAATCGATTTCAGCAGGTACGTTTGCTCGTCTCGGTATCATACTCGGACATCGCTGGGACCATTCCTTCTTCAATCACTTGAACGTTATCAATAGTATCTTTAAGATGATCATAGAGCGTCTCATTTGTCTTCGTGCAGACTACTATCTTGGTAAAACACTTGCTAAGTATGGCAATTATATATAGAACTGTGCCCGATCCGCTAGGCGATGCTACAACCATTCTAAAGGGTAGCTCGAAGTGCTCATTGCGAGGAAACTTCTAAAGCTTTGACTTCGGGATCGATTCGTAGAAATTTTGCATCGTATAGTATAGCGATACAAAAGATGTCTCTTCCTCCAACAATCAACTCTCCATTATTCAATAGTTCTTATTTTACTAGTTCAAATGGGTACCTAACACTGACTACAGGCGATCAAAGATATTTGCGCCTTATTGGTGTTGGAACGGTATCTGCTTTAAGCGTGATCAGCAATCTCGAGGTTGGTTCGTTGTCTCTTGGCGGATCACCTACTAATTTATCCGTTATTTCAGGGATAACACCTGGTACTGCTCAGCCTAACAAAGTGCTGTCGTTGGATGGAACTGGTTCTATATCGACAATTACAACACTCACATCAACAACCTACTATGAAACAACTGCTAATATCGAGTTCATGAATACTGATATTCTATCAGCTGCTATCAATTGTAATGCCCCTGTATTTTATGCTTCTACTGCGAATAATACATCTACCAATCAAACATATCAGTCATGGTCAAATGCGTTAGCAACGCCAATTACCGTTGATATGGTTATCAACAATGTTTCACCGATATTCGGAACTGTAACAAACCATCCTTTTCGAATGATGACCAACAACTCTCAGAAACTTATCATCAACTCGGGTGGTAATGTATCAATCGGAAATAACAACAACACTTATAAATTGGATGTTGCTGGAACTTCAATTACTGATATTCCGAGAATCAGAACAACTGGAAGCTGCCCCGACTTCATAATAGATGCTTATGACGGGGTTGCTGGAAATGACTCAGGATTACGCATATACGCTGCAAGTCAGAATCTACTCACATACTCAAATATGGGCTTTTACAATCCTGCCAAAACTATTCAGATTGCAGGTATATCAACCTATAATCAAAATTGCTTTCATACACGAGTGCTGACATCAATGCGTCTATGCGTAACGTAGGCTTTTGTAGTGGTAACAATGCTATAGTTAGACAAGCTCTTATGATCACAGCCAATAGTTTAACAAATAGTTCAAATTATACACCAACGAGTAAATGTAATATTTGTGCTGATACAAGTTTCGTGGATGGAGGATGCAATAAAGTTCTGCGTATTACGAATCCTAACTTCGTGAATGAATTTCAAATCCAGATTGTAAATGCTAATGATGGTGATACATGGGTTGGTAATGTCAGTAATACAAACCTTCGATTTGGAACTAATAACACAACGAATATGTATTTAATTACAGCTGGGCATCTTGGTGTCGGAACAACAACTCCCGTATCCCCGCTTCATATATCAGATGTAGCAAATTATACTATTACTAATCTTGCAACGAATACATACATCTACAATGTCTCTAGCAACACATGGGGTAATTGGGCGGAGGTCCGGTAACTATAAGTATTGCTGCGTTCTTTAATGACGATATCTATTCTCAAAATAGTGTCTATACAAGCTCGGATAGACGATTGAAAGAGAATATTAAAGAAATCGATTTGGATATTGGGAGGTACAAGCTTCTAAAGCCAAGTAGCTACAATTACAAGAATCAACCTGATAAGACTAAAATTGGCTTAATTG